ATGAAATCAATAAAAATATTTCTATATATTAGAAATGGGAAATGGGATGAGCACACATGCTAACTTCACCACTAAACACTGAAATAGCAATTGTAGCCTACGTCAAGTTTGCCATGCTCAGGGTATTAGGTGTCTTTTAAAAGTTTATTCACTTCAGCCATTCCTCAATGACCAGAATAGACACATTCAAGAAAAGCCACTACCAATTAAAGCTCCCCTAATTTTCCTATTAACCCTATTTTAAAGAGACAAAAATATACTAAGAAATACAAATGTCCAAAGAGCATATGAACAGATGTCCAATATTACTAGTAATTAGAGAAATGCAAATTAAAATGAGAAAGCATTTTCTCCCATTAGAGGAGGAAAATATTAAAACCTGATAATATTGTGTTGGTAAGGGTGTAGGAAAGGGGGATGGGAAAGACATGCTAAACAATAACTTTACAGTATCCACTTTTGAAAATGCACAAATCCTATGATGCAGCCATTCCACATCTCAAAGAAACACAAACACATGCACACCCAGTATGTCATCTACAAGGGTGGCTTCTATAGCATTGCTTGTGCCAACAAAACAATAGAAACAACCTGAGTATCCATCATGTGGTAAACAGTCACACTACCATGGAAGGAGCTTCAAAATACATTGTTAATTAAAGAAAGCAAGTTGCAGACCAAAACATGCAGTATACCAATTTCCCCAAAATAATAATAAACACTTGCTAGAATATGTATACATATATATGTTAATGTTCAGGGAAAGTCCTTAAAGAAAACACACCAAACTGTGATTATGGAGGAGAGGAGGAGGAGGAAAAGCAAGTTAAATGATGCTGAAGTCACCTAACCTGCTAGAAGTCTCCTGAGCATATGCAGGCATAGAATGCCAGAGCTGGACGGCAGCTCCAAGACCAGCTGATTCAGACCTCCCTTTGACAGGTAAAGAACAGGAGCCCCCGGAAGTTACGCCTCTTGCTCGGGGTCACACAGTGAGGAGATGAGAGCCCTGGAGTCCTGACTCCCTGCCCCAGGCTCTTTCTCTCACACTGGCTTTTTAAGGTGTTTTCTTCGTCCGTCCAGCAATGTACTTGTGAACGTGTGTTGACAGGAATAATTTGAGAACATCCTTTGGCTTCATGTTACTTATGAACATCCTCCGCTGACATCGTGTGTGCTCCCTGTGACTGTCTTTTTTTCCCAATTACATGTGACATTCAATCCGCAACTGTATGTCTTCACTTTTTGGTTATTGTTCTTCCCTTAAAGTATGAACTTCCTTTTTTCAGTTGCCATTTTACACATTTTGTTCTTGCCTTAGGGTAAGAATTTCCCCCTTGTGCTATTGAAGTCTATAAAATAATGGAGAAAGTTGATTATCCCAGGAATGAAAATGGAGAAATTGCTGCTATTATCCACCCTAATCTGCAGGTAACATTTGCTGTTTCTTTAAGATATTCAAAATATGAGCCCCAACCCCCAGTGAGTAGTTTTATAGTTCATAAAAGGTCTTACATATGCTGGCTGTAGGATACATCATTGAACATGGTCTACTAGTATATTCTTGTGGAAGTCACAGTCTAGATCAGTGGTTCTCAACCTGTGGGTCACGACCCCTTTGACGGTCGAACGACCCTTTCACAGGGGCCGCCCAAGACCATCCTGCATATCAGATATTTACATTACAATTCATAACAGTAGCAACATTACAGTTATGAAGTAGCAACGAAAATAATTTTATGGTTGGGTCACAACATGAGGAACTGTATTTAAAGGGCCAGAAGGTTGAGAACCACTAGTCTAGATAGACGAAAGTCTAAAGTGTAGGTTAAAATAAAGAAAACCAGATGCTCTAAGAGAATAATGAGGCAGGGAGGGATGGTCAGATAAGAGCTGTCAAAGAAGGTAAAATTCCTGCCAAGTGGGTAGGAATGATTATATTCATTTTCACATAAGAAAGCAGAAGCTCAGAAGTTAGATCTTTCCCACAGCCATCGAGCTATCAGTGGCAGACCCAGAGCTAATGTTCTCTGCAGTTCACCACACTGCTGCCACCTCCCTGCGATCACCGCTGAGTAAGTTAGAGCACAGCAATCAAAGCCTCTTTCTCTGGAATGTTTTCTGCCGTTTCCTGACTCCTCAGGTCCCCAATATCTGCTGCTTGTCTGGTTTGATCAATAACAGCATAGTGGGGGGGGGGGGGGGGCCGTGGGGGGGGGGGGGCCCTTGGCAGAGTGTAGGAGGTTTGTATCTCTTTTGACAGAATCCGGTGCTAAATGTTTCAGTTGTCTACAGTCTCACACAAAAATGTTTAAAGTAGGAGAGAAACCGCATGTAATTTGTGTATTTTGTTTCCTGAGAGGATCAAGACTGGAAACCACTGCGCCCTGAGGATCCTGTGTTTTTAACTCTTGACGGAGAGACAATTCCATTAGGTGGAGACCGTACTGTGTACCCGACGTTTGTAAATGAGGCCGCATATTATGAAAAGAAAGAAGCTTTTGCCAAGACAACTGTACTAACACTCAAGGCAAAAAGTATCCGCTCCTCTTTGCATTAGACATCACTTCCGGTGCACCTGTTAGGCAGTGTCTTGAAAAGCTCCGCCAGTCTGTAAGCCCCCAAAGGGCAGGGTTGCGCTGGATTTAATGTGCCTTATTCATATCCCCAGCACCTCCTTCGGGGCCTTTACACAGTGGGCATTTGGGCACATTCTTGAATGAATGAATAAATTAATTAATGGATATCTTTTAAAGGTAGCATATTGTGGACATAGCTTATTCAAAGAGGTGTATTATTTCTATAAAGCTTTTTATATATTATACTTTGATTGTTTAACATTCTTAATAAAGTTTTTAAATTCAAATTTTTAAGTTGAAATAGGTACTATATACAAAAACTTATTAACTTGAGCATAAAATTAAATATATTTTTAAGTAATGTATAATGCTACTAGAAACCAATGATGCAGACTTACAGTTTTTAAATTTTACATAGTTGGATGAATGATAATCTAACCTATGAACTTTAGTTGTAATATCAATAAGAGATTTTTAAGTGCTCTTTTGAAGATTACATGTGAATGAGAAATGAGGGCTGATTGTAAAAGTGACATTATGAATAAATAAAAATCTCTGAATGCCCTTTGTCCACAGACAGTAACCCTCACAAAGCGTCGCTGCTCAGGCCTGTCCACTTGTTCTGCACTGACCTCAGGGAGCTGAGAGCCTCCTTCTTGAGAAGCCACGGTTCCTTCCCAATTTGGGAAAGTCGGGAGAGGCACATTCCTCACAGCTGTCACTTCTCCTTCTGAAAGAACGCACTTGCCCTCCTTTGCATCCAACATATGAGGAAGTCTTTGGGTCCCCACGGCATAGGCAGAAAAACAGAAATAGCAGCGAACAGTGGGCACTAGTGGAAATGTGCCCAGACCCAGGTCTCTGGTTCTTAAATCCATTCTTTCAATAAGTTGTCCTCGTCCTCAGTGCCCACATCCCTCACCTTACGTGATTCTTCTTTTCAAAGATCTTCCAGCTGGAATGCTGCCTCCCTCCCTCTCCAGCCCCTCCAGAAGCCTCCCCTCTCTCTGCCCTTAGTCACAGCAGCAAAGTAAAGAACATTGTTATCCCAAGATTTGGACCCAACGGGATCAATGTTTACAGTTTCAAATGTATTTACCAAAGTCATACTAACATTATGTGGAGCGTATATACATAATCATTTTCAGTCTTCCAGAGCAAATTCTATTAAGCCAATTTCATTCCATACGTAATGGAACAGAGCACAAACTTTAATTTTTTCCACATTTATTTTTGCACTTTAACAAAATCCTTTTCATTGGAATAAACTCTCTTCCTTCTGAATTCTTTAGTAAAACTTCAACTTACCTATCAGTTTTTGTACATACCAAGCTTCCTTCTCCCACTGTGAATGTTCTGAGTCCAATTTTCCTGGGTCAGTTTTGTCCAGGTGTAAATTTTACCAAGAATACCTTATTCTTCCATCAAATTTAGTTACTTATAAAATTTACAAGGCTCACTGTATGTATATA